CATAAAACATCTTCTTGTTTCCCTTTATTCCCGTAGCTAGTTTGAGCTCATTCTGTGCCTTTGCCTTTCTAATCTTGCCCCTGCATTCCTGTGCTGTTTGCCTATTTTCATCCTTTGTAATTTGTCCTACTTTCCATTTTTTATATGACTCCTTTTTTATTTTTCATGTTACAGGCCTCTGTTTAGGCCTGCTGACTCCATGTTACTGACCCTCAACTTACTACTAAGCTATGCAATTTGAACTATGCTAATCGCTTAGCTCAAGTTGAAAGAGCTTATTTCAAATTTGGGTGCATCTACCTAGCACTTATTTTGAATCAGGCCACTCTTCCTCCGACTTCCTTTCCTCCTTGTACAGTGAGGTTTACAGAAGTCAGAGTTAGAAGCCTGTTAGTTCAAATTTGTTTCTACATAACGGGCTTGCTGTGTAGATGCGCAAGGAGCTATTTTGGAATAACGCCCGTTATTCAAAAATAACGCTGTTGTGTGGAGGTAACCTAAAGGACACCTCAGCTGTGACACATGCGTGTTGTGTAGTCAGGAAAAACAGGACAATTCAGAGACACTTAAGAGGCCTGTGGGGCCACTCAGATTCACAGCAACTAAGAAACATTGTAGGTTCTGCCACCACACAGCAGCCTGGGAGTTTCTTGCACCGGATCTAGGAATGACTCCAGGAAGGTGCATCACTTGCCTGGGTTCCTACATTTCATGTTCCTCAGCAACCCTGCCTGGCTTTTAATTGGTTTGTTAATAATGAGCTTTCACCGCTCTCTCTGCTGGTCTCTGGCTCATGATCCTCCCCAGCTCTCTCGGGGTGCCGTACGTCCACCATGGGAAAAGCAGGGGCCTGTTTGTCTGTCTCACACTCTCAGCTGAGCTGCAGCTGCTCAGGGGAGGCCCAAACCCTGCTGGGATTGCACAGCGATGGCTATAAACCTCCCTGCCCAGCTCCCCTCCGGCCCAGTACAGAGCCACTCCGGACACCGCCCACTGCCACGTCAGCCCCTCTCTGCTGCGCAGGAGCTGGGTGAGTGCAGGGCCTGGCAGCCCAGAAATAGCTGCATGAGCATCCTCTGCCCTGAGTGATAACACAGAGGAAGCACAGAGCCGAGAGAGGTGAGGGGGGGATCCCACAGATTGTCTGAGACCCAGGAAGCTGAGAGAGGGGCAAAGACTGGGTCCGGGGAGACAGCCCAAAGAGCCACACGCCTGGAAGGCTGGTCTGCAGGAAAAGTGCATAGCCTGGGGAACCTCACGGTGTTATTCCTCTTTAATTGCACCCATGGAGCAGTGTCATTCAGTGGGCCGGAGCTGGGAAACAAGAATTCAGGGTGAGTTTCCCTCTCCCAGGTGCAGCTTGGTTTAGGGCTGTGTGTGGTCAGGCTAAGTGCAGGGATACCAGGTGCCTTCAGCTATGATGCATTGACACAGCAGAGTTCAACAGGGTAAATTTGGAGACAGGCTAACAGAAGCAGGGTTGGAGAATTGCTGGTGTAGACACCTCCAATAATAAACATTGTAAAAAGGAACAGCTTAACAGGTATAATTACAATCTGTTTGGTCTATAGAAATTACTACTAAAAAGATCTACACTTTTTAAATAAGAAAGTAACTTGGGAGTAATCCTGGGTAGTTATCCTGGGAGTCAAATTTTCCTGATTTCTTCACTCCCTGGCAGGGTGGGGTTTGGCCAGTGTTCATCTGTTACTGATTACTCAATTCTCCTCAGAATATAAAAAATATCGGGGATGATCTAAACCGATTGGTTAAGTCTGTGTGCACTTACAACTAATGAACTGTTAGACAAGAGCAGGCCTCCTTACCTCCTGGATCAAACAGATTTCCTGAACTCTTGCTGAGTTATTCCTTATGCAGCCTGAAATGAAAGTTCTGTTGCCCTGCGGGGAGATTTGGGTCCCCTGCTCACATACTTTGCCGAGGCTCACCAGGAGTGGTGTAGGGACCCAACTGATTTGGCTCTGGTGAGGCCACATCTGGAGTATTGTGTCCAGTTCTGGTCCCCCGACTACAGAAAGAACGTGGGCACATTGGAGAGGGACCAGGCTCTCCTTGTAGATCCCTCAGCTTCTCCTCTTAGGTCATGTGCTCCTGCCCTCTAATCATTTTGGTTGCCCCTTGCTGGACCCTCTGCAAAGCATCCACATCCTTTGTGTAATGGGGCGGGGGGCAGAACTGGATGCTATACTCCAGATGTGGCCTCTCTAGTGCAGAATACGTTGGAGTAATCCCTTCTCTAGATCTGCTGGCAATGCTCCTCCTAATGCACCCTAATATGCTGTTAGCCTTCTTGGCTACAAGGGAACCCTATTGACTCATATCCAGCTTCTCATCCACTGTACTCCCCAGGTCTGCCAAATTACTGCTTAGCCAGAAGTCCCCCTGCCTGTAAAAATGTTTGGGATTCTTCTGTCCCAAGTGGAGGGATCTGTCCTTGTTGATTCTCATTAGATTTCTTTTGGCTCGATCCCCCAAATTGTCTAGTTCGTTCTGGACCCGATTCCTGCCCTCAAGCCTATCTGCCCCGGCTTGGTGTCATCCACAAACACATCCCCCTCATCCAGATTATGGATGAAAATGTGTAACAAAATTGCCCTCCGGTCTGACCCCTGGGGCACACCACCTGATACCAGCTAGACATTGTCCCATTGATCACTACCCGCTGAGCTGGAGTATCTAGCCAGCTTTCTACCCACCTAATTCCTTAGCTTGCTGGGAAGGGAACAGTGAGAGAGCATGTAAATTACAAACCATCTCCAAAGCACAGCGGAGCATGAAGTGTTTCTCTTGGAGCCTTAACACAGGAATCCCCAATACTTAAGAAGCTAAGAGCCACCATTGTGGGTCAGACCAAAGGTCTATCTAGCCCTGTGTCCTTCCTTTCAACAGTGGCCAATACCAGATGCCCCAGAGGGAGAGATCACAACAGGTAATCCTCATGTGATCCCTCCTCTGTCACCCACTTCCACACAGACAGAGGCTAGGGACATCATTCCTACCCATCCTGGCTAATAGCCATTGATGGACCTCACCTCGATGAATCTATCTTTTTCAATCCTATTACAGTCCGAGCCTTCACCACATCCTCTGGCAAGGAGTTCCATAGGTTGACTGTTCGTAGAACTGAGGCTGAGCCTGGGGAATGTAGGAGGCAAATTTGTGCATTTCTGAGCCATCACCTTATGGTCCCCTGCTTGGAACACTGGAAATGTAGCAAAAGCCCCAGCGCATGGCTCCAGTCCTGACCACCACAGTAGGGAAACAAGATAGTGAGATGGGGGCAGGCGGAACAAAAAAGTGGCTGGAAATTGGACCCTTTTTTCCTGAGCATGTTGGAGGGGCAGGGAAGTCATCTGGCCCATTAAATCAGAGCAGAGAGCAATCCAGGGTAGTTTGTTTGGTAAGCCCAGGTGTGGCTCAAAGGGGTCTCTGTGGCAGTTCAAAGCAGCGATTCTTTTTTCTCTGCTCGCACTCCAAACTCTCTCTGGAAGACCTGCCTGAAATTAGACTGGGACGTTTCTCAGGCAGCAAAGATTAGGAGACTTCATTTCACCTCTTAAGTGCTCTGCCATTTTATGTGTATATTTATTAATTTATTTATGTGTGTCCTCTTTGCCCTCCTAGGCTATGTCTAGACTGCAGGCTTCTTTCGAAAGAGCCTCTTTCGAAAGCATCTTTCGAAAGAGCCTCTTTCGAAAGATCGCGTCTAGACTGCAGGCGGATCTTTCGAAAGAGCAATCCGCTTTTTCGAAAGAGAGCACCCAGCGAGTCTGGATGCTCTCTTTCGAAGACGGCCTCTTTACATTGAAGAACGCCTTCTTTCGAAAGAGGAACTTTCGAAAGAAGGCGTTCTTCCTCGTGAAATGAGGTTTACCGCCATCGAAAGAAAAGCCGCGTTCTTTCGAAATAATTTCGAAAGAACGCGGCTTGAGTCTGGACGCAGGGGAAGTTTTTTCGGGAAAAGGCTACTTTTCCCGAAAAAAAACCCTGAGTCTGGACACGGCCCTAGGGGCTGGCATCTATAATAGTAGCTGCAGCCATCTTCTCCACTTTTAGTTAACTTTGAGCTACTTACATGCTATTTTGATAGCAGATGTGACACATCATTGTCTGGGCAAACTCATTTTGTGTCCATTACACTTATAGGGGAGTTACAGAAAGTAAATACAGATCATAGCATTTCTTATCAAGTTGCTTGCAAAAGGGAAGGACAATTATTTAAAAAAATAATTTTTTACATTTTAAATGTAAATGTTAAATTTAAAAAGAAGTTTCAAATTACTACCCATAGTAAATGAGAATCAGAAACGGGTACAGCTTCCATTCTTCTCTCCATAACTAATTTGAATTATTTTGTGATTTGTAACAGTAAAAATGTTCTTCGCACTACAATGACAATGGAGTTTTGGTGGGCATGGATCCAGAGGAGATTCTTGTAGGAGACAATGACGCAAGGGCTAAGGAAGCCCACAAGGGCAAAAAAAGCAATTTATCCCCTTCCAAAATAAAAGCGGAGAAGCTGGCTGCAGTTACCGATCCAGATGCCAGACCCTAAGACGGAAAATGAGGACACACATGAATAAATAAGGAAATATATACATTACATAACAGACCACTTAAGGGGTGAAATAAAGTCTCCTAATGGCTGAGAGACGGCCCTGTCTATTTTCAGACAGGGTTTTCCAGAGAGTGTGTAGAGCGAGCAGAGGAAAAAACCTACTGCTTTGAACTGACACAGAGCCCCCTTTTAGTGCCAGAAGCCTCTGTGATAATGGTGGAATGGCTGCAGTGTAAGAGCCAGGGATACGTGAGGTGTGACGGCGCTTGCATGTGCCATTCGCCCAGGACAGAAGCAGAACTAAGAGAGAAATACCATTTTGTCATGGGTCCATCGGCCCGTTAACAATGGTGTTAATGGTTAGTTACAGGAGCAGGAAGCAGACATACTGTGGATCTGAACACACCCCACCGGCCTCACCATGGCAGCTTCCAATTGGAGCACACACCACCCCTCCACCTTCATCCTCCTCGGCATCCCAGGGCTAGAGGAAGCCCACGTCTGGATCTCCATCCCCTTCTGCTCCGTCTACATCCTGTCTGTCGTGGGGAACTGCCTCCTCCTGGCTGTGATCAAATCCGAGCCGAGCCTCCATGAGCCCATGTACCTTTTCCTCGCCATGCTGGCCTTCGCCGACCTGGTCATCTGCACCACCACCGTGCCCAAAACCCTCTGCATTTTCTGGTTCAGGGACCAGGCCATTCATATCGATGCTTGCCTGACCCAGGTGTTTTTGATTCACGCCGTTAGTACGATGGAGTCCGGGTACATGGTGGCCATGGCCTTCGATCGCTACGTCGCCATCTGTAACCCTCTGCGACACTCAGACATCCTGACCCATCAGGCCATAGCCAAGATAGGGTTTGGCGTTGTGGTGAGGGGCGCCGTGTTACTCATATTGCACAACTAATATTGTTTCTCACACCTATTGTGAGTTCATGGCACTGGTGAAATTGGCCTGTGCCGACACGGCGGCCATGAGTGCCTACAGTCTGGCCGTAGCATGTTTTGTTGGTGGGGTAGATTTAGTCCTCATCGTCCTGTCCTACATCCTCATCCTCCGGGCTGTCTTCAGCCTGCCCTCCAAGGAGGCCCGGAGCAAGTCCCTCAGCACCTGCAGCTCCCACATCTGTGTCATGCTGATGTTTTACTTCCCCACAGCTTTCACCTACATCTCCCACCGCTTCGGCCACATGGCTCCCCATGTTCACATCCTCTTTGCCAACATTTACCTGCTCTTCCCTCCCATGATGAACCCCATCATCTACGGGGTGAGAACTCCAGGGATCCGTCAGAGGGCTCTCCACATCTTGGGCCTCAAACCAGCCTGATGGACCATGAGATGGGTCCATGGCTTTGGGAGTAAAGTAGGTGACATCTGGATGCCCAGCCTTGATGACTCAGTCACCCCCATATTGTTGAAAACCACCCCAGCTTTGCCGACCATCAGGGATAATAAACACTGTTGTCTGTGTCTGCAGGAAAACACGGCTGTGACACTTCACTGCTCTAGAGCATCTTTGTCAATTGTTATTTCCACCTGACCCAGTGAGATCCAGGACTCGTCATGCAGGGTTCTGTGCAGTGAACAGCTAGAAGCCATCCCCGCCCAGTATCCTGTCTCCATCTTGGTGTCCTTTCTCTATCTCAGTATCCTATCTCCATCTGGCTGTCCTATCTTCATCTCCATGTCCTGTCTCCATCTCAGTGTCCTGTCTCGATCTCGGTGTCCTGTCTCCATCTCTGTGTCCCGTTTCCATCTCAGTGTCCTAGCTTCATCTCAGTGTCCTGTCTCCATCCTGGTGTCCCATCTCCATCTCTGTATCCCATCTCCATTTCAGTGTCCTGTCTCCATCTTGGTGTCTCGTCTCTATCTTGGTGTCCATGTTATTTGGCCTAAAAATGGTTAGTTAAGCATTATTTGCTGATATAGAGCCCGAATTGAAGGGTAAGGAATCCACAAAGGGCCGCTTCCACCAACTAGCTGCCTGTTCCTGCCAGCTGCCCTAATGACCATTTGTTCCTGCCAGCTGCCAACCCGCTGGCCGCTTGCTGCTGCTTCTGCGATGGGTGTGGCTCTGGGCCAAACCTAGTGATTTCTTTCTCAGTGATTTCAGCCTTTCGCCCACCACCTAGGCTGGCCAAAAGATTCCAGCCCCCACACCCCCTGAATAATATTTTAAAATAACAAGTGGGAAGGAGAGACAGGTTAAACCGGTCTTACAGCTCATGTATGTAGCCTGCTGGCTCAATCTCCTTCCCCCAATACAATCCACGTGAGTCTGGAAGGGGGAGGCTTGTCCATCCGAGACTCTTTGCAATGACAGTGCCTCTCCTGCAAGCACTGGGGTCATATTCTACATTTCCAACATTTAGGGGTAGCATGCCCAGTGGCCCCACAACAGCCAAATTAGTTACAACACACAACATTCCATTCCAACAATTGACCATCCATCAGGTCTATAGAACTGACTGAACTGAATTTACATAACTACACCCCAGATTCCTCTCCCCTTCCAGCATGAGCTGTATTTCCACATCAACAGTTGAATTCCTTGCAGGGCGGAACAACTGAGTGAGCATAACTACACCCAGGGCTCCCTTCCCCTTTCATCTGCCTGCATTGGGAGCAGTGGTGCAGACCCTGTTAACACTTATCGCATCCGATTTGTGAAACTAGCCTGTGCCCAAGTAGGCCTGTGGCACACCAAGGCTGGTAGCATGCATGGCAGGGACTAGCTTGGGTGGGAAGACACTTGAGCAGATATTTCTGTGGTTAGGCGAGGTACAATGCAAGAAGTTGATGTACGGCCGGGAGTTCGCTCTCCTTGGTCTTCCTCTTGCTCCTAATATACTTGTAGAACATCTTCCTGTTACCTTTTATGCCTCTAGCTAGTTTGAACTCTTTTTGTTCCTTTGCCTTTCTAATCTTGCCCCTGCACACGTGTGTTGTTGACTTACATCCATCCTTTGTAATTTGACCTAGTTTCCACTTTTTATACGACTCCTTTTTGATTTTTAGATCCAAAGTGGTCTCCTCCCATACTTTTTATCTTCCCTGTTTAACAGAATAGTTTGCTTTTGGGCCCTTAATAATGTCCCTTAAAAAACTGCCAACTCTCTACAGTTATTTTTCCTCTTAGTCTTACTTCCCAGAAGACTGGAAAAGGGCAAATATTGTGCCCATCTATAAAAAGGGGAATAAGAACAACCCAGGAAATTATAGACCGGTCAGTTTAACGTCTGTCCCAGGGAAGATAATGGAGCAGGTAATTAAGGAAATCGTATGCAAACACTTGGAAAGTAATAAAGTGATAGGGAATAGCCAGCATGGGTTTGTGAAGAACAAGTCATGCCAAACTAATCTGATAGCTTTCTTTGAAAAGATAACGAGCCTTGTGGATAAGGGAGAAGCGGTGGATGTCATATACCTAGACTTTAGTAAGGCATTTGATACGGTCTCGCATGATATTCTTATTGATAAACTAGGCAAATATAACTTAGATAGGGCCACAATAAGATGGGTGCATAATTGGCTGGATAACCATAGTCAGAGAGTTGTTGTTAACCTCTAAAAATTTGAAATGTAGGTCAGACCCCTTTGGAAATCTTAGATGTACTCTGTGGACCCCCATGTTGTCCACAGATCACAGTTGAAAAATCACTGTTCTATGGCAACAATGACCTTTTACAGACCCTCATGGACATAGTCTGTGGACGACATGGGTCCACAGGCCTGAAATTGAAAAACACTGGCCTGCACCATTAATGACCCAAGGGAGCCTTATTCTTGAACCTCATTGAAATTTCTTTACATAGTTAAAGAATCTATACTATAAATATTACTGCATCAGAAATAATTTCTGGTAAGTCTTTAAAGTCATTGAGCCAAATTGACTTTAGATACTTGCACACAGCACACTGAATTCAGTGAGAGTTGTACTTGTTAATGTGAAAGCAGGATTTGGACTTTCCTCTTGCGGTATCTATGAGACAATGTATGTGTGCCTGTATCTATAGTGTAGACGCTAAATTCCTTGTATCTTTGTAAAGTAGCCACACTATAAAGCCCTGTATAGACAAAGTGAAAACTGTAGTAGGATACTATGAAGCAACTCCATGGAATATTTGCAATTTCGTAAAAGAAAGGATTTAATGTTCTCCCTTCATTGCTGTACTTTGTAAATTAAATAATCTGGTAATATAAAAATGTATATAGGTACTAGTTCTAGTTATATCTGAGACTAAAAAGCCATTGAAAGTTGTGTTGTGAATGTAATACTATAACCATTTTGAAAGTCTCAGAGAGGTAGCCATGTTAATCTGTAACTAACAAAATTTTAAAAACAACAATGGTCCTGTAGCACCTTAGAGATCCACATGGGTGGATCCTTACAGCTGCTCACAACCCAGCTAAAGTGAAATGTGGGTTCTTCTGCCCACAGATAATATGGCAGGGCTAAGCTGTTAGTGGACTGAGGGCAGATCTACACTGAACCTGGAAGGAAGGCTTAAGGTACACAACTGCAGCTACGGCCTTGAGGGCGGGGGGCTGGACTCGATGACCTCTCGAGGTCCCTTCCAGTCCTATTATTCTATGATTCTATGATTCTTACTTATCAGCTCTCTGACCTTACCAAAATCTGCCTTCCTGAAATCCATTGTCTCTATGCTCTTCTCTCTTCCACCATTCCTTAGAATCATGAACTCTGTGATTTTATGATTACTCTCACCTAAGCTGCCTTCCACTTTCAAATTCTCAACCAGCTTCTCCCTATTTATTAAAATCAAATCTAGAACAGCTTCCCCCTTAGTAGCTTTCTCCACCTTCTGAAATAAAAAAAATGGTCTCCGATGTAGTCCAAGAATTTATTGGATAATTTGTGCCTTGCGGTGTTAGTTTCCCAACATGTGTCTAGACATTTGAATTCCCCAATCATCACCAAATCCTGTGTTTTGCATGATTTTGTACGTTTTTTTAAAAGGAAGCCTCATCCACATCTTCTGCCTGGGTAGCTGGTCTGTGGAAGACCCCTAGCATGACATCACCCTTGTTTTTTTACCCCTTTTAACCTAACCCAGAGACTATCAACAATTTTGTTTCCTCTGACCAGCTCCACCTCAGTCCAAGTGTACATTTATAATATATAAGGTCTTTCCTTCCTGAATAAGCTGTACCCTTCTGTACCAATATTAAGGTATGAGAGCACTGTCAACTCACAGGGGCAGGGCCCAACAGGGCTGTGGATTCGCTTCAAGACAGAGTCGATTAGGGATAGATAGTTGCTTTTATTAATCTCACTATGTCACTACTATTACAAGCTTAATGCTGCCAGATGGTTACACAGCTACTGCAAAGTAATACACCAATAAGCACAGGCAGAGCAATGAATAAAAGAGTAAGAGGCACTTGGAAATGCTTGCACCCCTTCAATCTGTGGGGAGTCCTGTTCCGGTCATCTCGCACCCAGCTGCAGTGGATCCAGCTAGGGGGACCTCAAATTCAAAGTGTTGTGTTTACTCAGGAAGGCATGATTTACCTCACAAGGGGCTAACTAGGGGTACGTCTAAACTACATGGCTCCGTTGATGGAGCCATGTAGATTTGTTTTTTTGGCAAAGGGAAATGAAGCGGTGATTTAAATAATCGCGGCTTCATTTAAATTTACATGGCTGCCGCGCTGAGGTGACAAACAGCTGATCAGGCATAACGGACATCTTTCTTTCTTTCTTTCTTTCTTTCTTTCTTTCTTTCTTTCTTTCTTTCTTTCTTTCTTTCTTTCTTTCTTCTGCATCTGAAGCTGTGAGTTGTAGCTCACGAAAGCTTATGCTTGTCACATAAAAGTCATACGTGGTCCTGCAGCTGAGCAGGTTTGGGATGCAAGTTTTCATCCCTGCTGTACCCAGTTTAGCATAGCCTGGAACCCTGCAAGCACAAATAGCAGCTGGTCTTTCTCAGCTTTAAGCCGTGCCTTGAGCTGGGAAACTACTGAGCAGTAAACAAGTTTGACCTCAGTCACCATTCATAGGAGTAATAAGGATGGCATTGAGCCAGGTATGTGCACATCCGGCAAACAGCTGTAGTACAACTAGGCTGTGTCTAAACTACATGGCTCCATCGATGGAGCCATGTAGTTTAGACACAGCCTAGTTGTACTACAGCTGTTTGCCGGATGTGCACATACCTGGCTCAATGCCATCCTTATTACTCCTATGAATGGTGACTGAGGTCAAACTTGTTTACTGCTCAGTAGTTTCCCAGCTCAAGGCACGGCTTAAAGCTGAGAAAGACCAGCTGCTATTTGTGCTTGCAGGGTTCCAGGCTATGCTAA